AGAAGATACCCATGAAAAATGAGGCACAGTATTTCAAATGTCTGCTACTAAATACAGTCTGCTTTCTCAAAAGGCAAAATAAAGCTTTTAAGTGTCTGCTTATATGGAGTTTCCATAGATCTCAGTGTTCATGTATTGCCTTAGAGCTAACCGGGCATAGAGGAGGCTACAGTGGATTCTGTGTGGGAGAATCACAAGATCAGTCCTTTTCTAAGCTGCAGACATATTCATGTTAACCCTGTCTGTTCCAACCAAGATGTCCATAGTTCTATAGGCTTCCAACACTCTGTCACATCTGCAAGTCTATGCATTTGATTGCCTCTTCTTGCTCATGCTTGCACCTGTGCGCTGCCATCCATATTCAATTCAGCTGGGGCTTGTTTAGACTCGTCCACATCTGCCCAAGTGTACCCATACCACATGCCTCAGTGAGCAGTGCACAGTTCAAAGTATGTTGCCTTCACTGCCCGAGGGACATCCAAGCTGAGCAATTTCAATAGAAACTATAAATACAACACAACAATGACCCACCCAGTGAGATGTTACAATTATGCTCTGTGCCATTTCATCCAATACCACCTCATATAACTATTGTTCTGAGTTATTCTGTTTATAATCATTTAACAATATGTTTCATCAGATTAAACAAGAGGAATTATTATTTTTGAAATTGTGCAAGAAGGGATGCAGAGTGGAATAATGCCTTCTTCTTGTTATTAGGACACCAAGGGTCAAATAGCAGAGAAGGGCTGAGGGGATGGATCATGTGGTTGCCCTCACGTGAAAAGACGAACCAGCGGACGTCATCAGGACATGGCCAACAGAGGTGCAATCTTCAGAAAACAGGACTAAACAAGTAGGTTAAACCTTCAGTATGTCCATCCCGAATGAGTCTGATCACATAGGATTTACTATTACATAACCAAGAGGTAAAAACTCTGGAAATGTTTTTGATGAGTAATAAGTGTTTCACTTGGACACAGGGTTACCCAGCCTGTAAAATATGCAATTAGGAAATGATAAACTACCACAATGCAATAAATATTGCAACATTAGAAATTCAGCAGAAGTTTAATTTCTTTTGAACACTTTTATACAGTATGTTTTTGTTTTAGAGTTATCAGACTAATTAGCTTTGTGGTTTATTACATTTAGATACATACTACATGTATATATCCGTGATGTTAGTGACATTATAAACGAAACACAAAAAGTCCCTCTATTCTTTGCATCTTTATATTATTAATTGCAAGGAGATCCATGTTTTGGCCAAACCTTTTACCGTTATTTCAGTGAAGAAACAGGATGTTCTATCACTGTAAGTAGCTGCCAAAATAGAGGTGACTTAAGTTAAATATGTCACATTTCATGATTCTGTTTAGCACTGTTACCAAGTTGCCACCTACGAAGGCCCAAGAATATAATTGTTACTTTTATTTCTCATTCCTCTGCAATATCTGTTTATGTCATTGAAAAATGTGGCTGCATCATCATATGCACACACAACCTCACACACATTTACACAACTAGCACAAACACTTTCTTGCTGATGCAGTCTATTACACGGAGACATGTTCCCTCACCCGGGTGTGCAGTTGAAAATGTGAAGTATTCCTTTACCATCTGAAAAATACCTGTGAGCCCCCAGAATGAATGGCCTGTCACCACAGAAGGTAGGATACTGTCAGCTAAGCAGCGTTATGTGCAAGGATGAGAAATGAAGGAGGAAGGCAAATCAATCCATATTTTTTGTTGTTCCCCACATCCTTTTGTCCCCACACAACACGTTTAAAACCTACACATGCACGGCAATTGGAAAGCTTTGCCAAAACTTTATAGAAAAACAGCAATCGGGTTGTTAGAGAAGGAAAGAATGAACTATGCAAACCACAAATATAGATTTAAACATCCAAGGGAAAGAAAGCCACACACTTTTATGCTGACTTCAAAAACCACATGCGGCAGCTTTCATGAAACTTGTAAGAGAGTAAAATCTCCAAGAGATAGCAGGGTGGTTTATCTCTAAAGGCAGGCATGGTCCAGCCCCGGAGGCAATCAGTCACTGGTGTGTGTGTGTGTGTGTGTGTGTGTGTGTGTGTGTGTGTGTGTGTGTGTGTGTGTGTGTGTGTGTGTGTGTGTGTGTGTGTGTGTGTGTGTGTGTGCGTGCGTGCGTGCGTGCGTGCGTGCGTGCGTGCGTGCGTGCGTGCGTGCGTGCGTGCGTGCGTGCGTGTGTGTGTCACAAAGTCATTGTCAGAAGTTTCCCTCCCTGCTATCGCTCTCACTCTGACTTGCTCTTCCTCTCCGCCGCTCTCCTGCTTCAATCAGAGAAATCATTTCCTTGTTAATTGCTTCTTTACCCTGTCATGTCTCAAACTGTGAGGAGAATAGTGAGTTTCAGGATCTGATGTGTTCTCTGCTACACCTGTCGAGTATACCAATATGTATCCTGATGTTTTGTTCACAATTAACAGAAGCCGATCTAAAAGAAACAGCACATATTCTGTCCATGGTAGAAAAATAATAATCCAACTTTAGGTTTTTAACATACAACACATAAGAAAGCTGTTGGTCAGGGTCATTTCATTTCATTTCCATTTTTATTTCGAACAGATTAAAAAAAAAAAAAATAATAATAATAATAAATGTGAAAAACAGAATACAGTATTGTTAGAATACAGTATTTATCAATATTCATAATAATATCTATATATTCAGTTGCGCCATTGACGTGTAACTATCATGCGTTCCTCGCTATCGGTCCATTGTAAAAAATGAGATTTTTAGTACTGGATACTGGCCGCTGCTTGTAGATGTCTCGTTCGTATTAGATGATGGATCCTTTAATTTTTGTAACAGCATCTGTCTCTTCCACCACATATTAAACTCTCCTTTAGATGTAAAATTTGTGAGTTCCAGTCCTTGTTGGACTTCCTTCATCTCATATTGTTAGACACCCCATTAAAATAACCTTACCAAAACCTCGTGTCTCAATTTTGTTTCGTGTTCGTATTAAGTCATAATTTTCCTACATGTCTTTGTGAAAAACCTTTTTGAGACTCTTCCTATGTCCACTAACTTCTTACTCTTAATAACATTTACATACATTTTACATTTCTCACTCATCCTTATTGAACGTCTTCTACTAATTTCCTAATTAGTAAACTAATCGTCATTCATTCCCACCCTTATTATCGTAAACGAAGGAGGACGAGGGGAAAGCCTGTGTATACTAAAAATAATAATAATNCCACTGTGTACTAACAATGATACATGCTGGGAAATACATGCAGTACATATGTGCGGTACTGTAGGGGAGTTAATTTAATCTGCTGCAATGAAAAAGATCAAACATAATGTCAAATGGACATAATACATTTTGAAATAATTATATAATGGCTTCTCAGTGCCGTCTTGTGAGTTGTATTTCTTTACTTAGGAATGTTTCAAGTTTCACATATGCGTATAATATTCCAAATACAATAAGAGTAGATCNACACGCGTATCACAAAGGCCTGTCTGGTTGCCAGGACACACTTTAACAAGAGTTTCAACCTGGCGCTCACGCTGCTCTTCATTGGTTTTCTTTATCTGTGCTGACATCTACTGGCCTTACATTACATTACATGTCACTTGTTAGACGCTTTTATCCAAAGCGATTTACATACTCAATACTGTGGGCAATCCCCACAGGAGCAATTTGGGGTGAAGTGTCTTGCCCAGGGACACAACGACATGCTGACTGCAGTGGGGTTTGAACCTGTGACCCCCTGGGAGCAATTTGGGGTGAAGTGTCTTGCCCAGGGACACAACGACATGCTGACTGCAGTGGGGTTTGAACCTGTGACCCCCTGATTCAAACTCCAACGCTCAACCCACTGCACCAAACGCCTGCCCCACTGTGTACTAACAATGATACATGCTGGGAAATACATGCAGTACATATGTGCGGTACTGTAGGGGAGTTAATTTAATCTGCTGCAATGAAAAAGATCAAACATAATGTCAAATGGACATAATACATTTTGAAATAATTATATAATGGCTTCTCAGTGCCGTCTTGTGAGTTGTATTCGGTATTTGTTACAGAAATTCTTTACTTAGGAATGTTTCAAGTTTCACATATGCGTATATAATATTCCAAATACAATAAGAGTAGATCATTGTTCTTTGTAGATTACCTGAAGGTAAATACTACATAAACACCCTGGCCTGAGACATGGTTACTGAACCTTTCTTAATGATAACACAAATGTTTAACTAGTTAAAAACTATTAGATCTGCTCCCTCTCCCATGTTGAAAAATCCTGAATCTAAGTTTATACACATATTTTTCATTATAAAATATTAACTGCTGGTCGAAAGATGTCTCCTAATCTACTTCAGTTATATGTGCGCAGGAGAATTCCCACATACAATTGCGAGTGGAGGTGAAAAACAAGCCTGTTTTCAACAAAATGGTCACAGTTGTTGCTGAACTACATGGTTAAAATAAATGACTGAAGGATTTTCCTTTCTTTGGTATCCATAGTTGATGTCATACTAACAGATAATATATGACAGAGCAGCAGCAACATTAACAATTCACAAAGGAGACCCATTTAAAAACACATGTTCAAAGAAAAACTGAGCATGATGTTCCCTATAGAACACTCACCATGACTAATACATGATTTTTCTATTTATCTAACCCTGGATCTCCACATCCATCTCCCTCCCTCTTTTATTCTCTGTCATCCCCCCCCACCCCTTCCTCTCTATGTGGTGCATTTCATTAGCGTATTCAGCAATGCACCGACTGGACAGCAGGTGTGCCCTTTAGCACTGCAGCACACATCCCACTGCAGTGCTACCATGTGTGTGTGTGTAAGTGTGTGTGCATCAGGCATGCCAGCCAGCCTGTCCACTGCTGCTCCTGCCACTCTGCTGGAGGAGAGGGGGGGAGAGAGAGAGGCCGCTGGAGGAGCAGAGGGAGAACGAGAGGGGGATAGAGAGCTAGATGGTGAGAGAGAGAGAGTCCAGGCCCAAATAAAGCCATGGGGGCCGGGGCTGGGCTGGGCCCCCCACTGCTATAAATACGCTGGCCGTCTGGAGGTTCGGGTTTGGTGGTTGGGGCTTGGGACCAGTCACCACCTCTGCTGCAGCAGTCTTCCTCAGGAGCGTCTCCTCTTTGTACTCCTCATCCTCCTCCACCTCACTCTGGTCATCGTTGCTCTGGGCTGCCAAGATGCCTCGCGTGGACTCAGACATCAAGCTGGACTTTAAGGATGTCCTCTTCAGACCCAAGAGGAGCAGCCTGAAGAGTCGCTCAGAGGTCGGTACCGTTAGTGAGCTGATCATATCATCCAAAAAGCTATAATCAACTTCATTGATAGGACTGGGGTACTTCTCAGGGGCAGTGTAATCCTTTAGTGCTGCATTCAGGAAGTACGCTTCTATGCTGGGTGACGCAACTGCAATATGTTAACTATTTATACATGGGGGAGGATGGTGGGGGGGCAGCGTTTAGGGCCTTCTTACCCTGTTTGCTGCACTCGTGTTAACATTATTGAAGATGAAAATTGAGAAAATGACATGATTTGATCTTAAGAGGATGTGTCACCGAAGCTGGAAAGTGCACACTGTAATTGTATATGTTTGTTGTCTTGTCTTGTGTAAGCCTGTAGATGGACACTGCCATTGTACTTTGTGAGCAAACAAGCAACACTGCATTAGCATGTAAGAGCAGAGTGACCTTCTTAAAGGTGACACAGAACAAGGCTAGCCTGTGCGAATAATGATGTGTCACTATATCAGTGACCTAAGTTCATGTGTGCTGGCACTAGATCTTGAACTGAAGGGGTGGGAGTTGGCAATCTGAGGTCTGGTAAGCAACATGAGACACAGGACACTTCTCAGAAAACTGTTTAAAAATAGTACAGTGTACAGCACATATGCCACAGAGGTATCTGGATAACTGCTGTCCGCTGTGCGTGGTGATGAAAAGCTGGTTCGAGGGGCCCCCAGTGAATGTTTCCCTAGGGCCCCCACAGACTCTAGAATTGGCACTGTGGATGACCTTATATATATATATAGATGAACACACTGATGCAGATAACAACACAGAAAATACACAACACTTGGAGCAAGACTGACTGCAGTCGAAGCACATTTTGTCATATAAATTGAATATCTCACCAAATTATTGAAATTTCACTAAATCCTCTTTTCCTACAGTCACTAAATAATAAAGAAAATATCTCAAATAACATGATTTCAGATACATATGATGACTTCATTGCAGCATACTGAAACCAAAGCCAAGTCTAATGACCCATTCACTCCAAAAGCATCCATTGAACTGCTCTTGTTTGAATTATAGCTGCATTAAGTCCACCTGAGGGTATACAGTATGGAGAACAGATAAACAGCATCAATAACACGAGACCACATAGTAAAATGGTCGGTAATGACGCAGGGATGCACCACCACCGACCTGAAATGTATCTCCTTCAATCTGGAACTTTAATTCAACTGTGAATTGTCACTGCATCATTGGAGTTGAAAGAAACACAGACATATTTAATTCGTTTTTGATCATTAATCATTATGTGGGTGTTGTGGTTTAATAAAAAATTGCAAAGATTACAAGTTCATATGCATCTACAATCTCAATCAGAGATCATTCAATCAATATTAAGAATAACTGAGTCTATTGGATCTGTTGTCATGATCTACTGGCGACTAGGCAGGAAAACCCTGCTGAGTCATTGTAGTTATTAAAAGGAAGAAGCCTGTATTGATTTTTATGACTCCTCCTTTCTCATCAATATTCCTTTCCCCACTTTGCTCTTCCTCCCACCATTATGAGTTATAGCCTAATTTTAGCTGTGGCTCTGAAAAGGATTCCACCGTGAAGGTTAGGGCAGAGTACAAACTGTTCGCCTATTCCCACAAGTAGTTTTGCGTGATAAATGTCTTGGCACTAAAAGCTAACAGCACTGTGAAACTGTTGGATTTAAGCAAATGGAGTCAGTTTGAATCACTTTCCATTATAGTTAATGACAATCTATCCGACCTTCTGTAACCTGTAGTGATTATGTGTTATAATGACTCAAATATTGAGATCAAAGCATGTACAAAAGACAAGTAGTGGGCACTGTTGCTACAAGCTACATGTACAAGATTGCTAACTCATAGTGTAACAGTGTAGCACAAGAAGCAAAAAAGAGTCACAAAATCAATCCACAGATTCAGTTATTTCCATTAGCAAAATGTATCCCCCATTTGGTAACATTAGCTAGCTTATAGTCCTAGGCCAATTCACAGCCAAACACGCAATGGTGCATATTACTGCTTCTGAATTCAACGTTTCATTTGTAAGAGGGAAAAAGATGTGTAACTTCTTCGTTGTGAATTCAAAAAAAAAGCTTTGTAAATGGAAACTCCACCTTCGTGCATTGGTCAACTCACTTGAATGAGATCTATTTATTGCAGATGTTTTTGAACAGAATCAACGCTAACACTTGCATGATCACGACAGATATACTTTCCTGTAAAAGGAGCAGTTAGTGTGGTACAGAGGGTCATGTTTGTTTCATGTAGCTTATCACATTACATAGCTAAGCTAACCATTGGATCTAAATGATTCAGAACCCCCCTGTTAAGACTCGGAACATGAGCCACTTTAGCTGCTCCAGAAAATCTGCAATGATCAAAAATAATTAAACTGTTGAATAAGCACTTTGGTGATTATTGTTCATAACCAAGTCTCCACAATGACTCTTTTCTCCCCCCCAGGTGGACCTTCAGAGGACCTTCACATTCCGCAACTCTAAGCAGACGTACACCGGCATCCCCATCATCGCTGCCAACATGGACACCACAGGGACGTTTGAGATGGCACAGGTCCTCAGCAAAGTGAGTTAACACTTTGACGTACAATCAGGATACATGAAACAGGATGTTGCAGGGAATCATGGGAAGAAGACATGAATTAGAAACGGTGTCCTAGAAGCAGTTAGACATCTGCTTGTGATGATTCTTTTGTAACACCTCAAAATAAATACTGTATAATAACGACGAAAAGTTGAACTGATTTCTGTACTCAGCCTAACAACATATTGTAACGGCCAAAATGATTCAATATATTGCGTTCAAAACCAAACTTCAAGGAAACCATAGTGACATCACAAATAAATAAAATGTAATTCTCTGATGTTGTTTCACTATCTTCCTTTCTCTCTTTAGCACACCCTCTTCACAGCCATTCATAAGCACTACTCTGTGGAGGACTGGAAAAACTTTGCTGCTAAGAATCCCGATTGTATAGAGGTAATATCACCAATTTTTGTTTCTCATAAGCATCAGGATCAAAATTACACACTTTTGAATTCACAAGGGTCTAAAAAACCTTAACCCAATTTTCTGTTTCTCTCCCCAGCACGTAGCCGCCAGTTCAGGCAGTGGCGTTGCAGATCTGGAGAGGCTGTGTGCCATATTGGAAGCTGTCCCCGTCATAAAGTACATCTGTCTGGATGTGGCCAACGGCTACTCCGAGTACTTTGTGGAGTTTGTCAAGACGGTCAGAGAAAGGTTCCCTAAGCATACCATCATGGTAAGAGAGCCCTAACACCCTCTGGCTGACAGTTATTGGACGTACTGTGAGATTGAGTCTTAGGGCTGATGCTGTCTCTCTTCACAGGCTGGTAACGTGGTAACAGGGGAGATGGTGGAGGAACTCATCCTCTCCGGCGCTGACATCATCAAAGTGGGTATCGGGCCAGGTGGGTGTTCACGGCTGTCTGAGTGTGTGTGCAAATATTCTGAGGAGTGTGCAAACTCTAAATAAACCAACAAGTATACAGGCCTCACAAACACACACAGACACTACTGAGAAGGAGGGGCAAAAAACGAACAAGATTGGCCTTAAATATAAAGGTTGAATTTTTGTACAGTGCTTGATTTGATTTGGAACTGATAGGTTGTTCTAAATAGATTAAATGGTTTCATTGTCAGTAGAAAAGCCTTTATTAACGCATCATAACTGGTTTTAGCAACCCATTATAAAATCACATTTTAATGAGAAGAAAGAACTCTATTGTCAATACCGTTATTTTGACAAATCTCCTGGCATTTAGATGCTCATATTAGATGGCTGGATTATATGAGGCATAGAATCTCTAAAATCAGCTTCTGTTTTCTGTATCCTTGTATCTGTAAGTCTAATTTTTGTATGCTGCTGCAACGCAAAATGTCCCAATTTGGGATCAATAAAGTACATCTTATCGTATTATCTTTAAGTGAGCAGGTTCCTGTAGCAGGATCTATTAAACACAGACGGGACAGTTACAGCTACACGGATTCCTCTAATGTGTGCACTGTGTGTTGCAGGGTCCGTGTGCACCACCAGGATCAAGACAGGAGTGGGCTACCCCCAACTCAGTGCTGTCATCGAGTGTGCAGACTCAGCCCATGGACTCAAAGGACACATTATCTCTGTAAGTCCCACAACACATCACACACAAATAAAAGTGGATGGCCAGATTTACTGACGTGTACAGTATAGTTATTAAAACTATGAATGGTAAACCACACTGGGATTTTTTCAAGTGGGCATCAGTCCAAGAAAAATGCGAAATGCAATCCTTCAACAGGTTATGCCTTTTATTGATGCATTGCCTCAAAAACATGGGTAAAATGTAGAAGATATAATAATGAAAATCACAAACAAAAAAGTTAAATTGTTTGCATTCAGTTATCTTACTTTTTTCATGTACAGTAAGGCAATTTAATTGTCTTTACAGCCTATTAAGTATTAGAGAATAAATAGTGTCCTCACATTTTAAAAAGGACCCTTACATTATAGTGTAGATCAATAGGAAAGCCTGAGTCATAATTGTCAATATTAGTGACTCAAAGAAGTGTCTTTACTGAAGCACAATGACAATATTGATTATCCATAATAAACTGTTGCTTAAAGGCTGTCATGGTTAAAATGTTGATGACATCCACTAGAGGGCATCCATAGAAAAATAATAAAATGTAAGACCTGTGATTCAGTGTTAAAGCAATGACTGTGTATTTTCTCCATTCAGGACGGCGGCTGCAGTTGCCCGGGAGATGTGGCTAAGGCCTTTGGTAAGTTTTCAACCTAAACACCTTCTTTTGAAAGGACTGGGCTGTACAAGTCTGCACATCCTGTTTTCTCTGCCTTTGCTTCCCAGGTGCAGGGGCTGACTTTGTGATGATGGGAGGGATGCTGGCAGGCCATGACCAGTGCACCGGAGAGGTCATCGAGAAAAACGGCAAGAAAGTCAAACTCTTCTACGGCATGAGCTCTGACACTGCCATGAAGAAATATGTGGGTGGAGTTGCTGAGTATAGGTAAGAGTCTGATATCAGAAGTTCATGAAGGATTCCTATTCTCCTTTAAATAACTTTTCATATGTGTTCAGCTTATTAACTGTTTTAACTACAATCCCCCTCTCTCTGCTCCACTCAGGGCGTCTGAGGGCAGGACAGTGGAGGTTCCCTACAGAGGAGATGTGAACAACACCATCCTCGACGTGCTGGGGGGTCTCCGCTCCACCTGCACCTACGTGGGCGCCGCCAAGCTGAAAGAGCTGAGCAGGAGAACCACCTTCATTCGTGTCACACAACAGTCCAGCCAAATGTTCACCTCATAGGGCGTACTCATGTCCACACTCACAGGTTGCATAGTATGCACTGTGTGGGTATTATGCAGAGTTTAAACGTCCAATCGTAGGACAGTGGTGTAACACATACAGGAGACACAACACACACTCACACCGACACTTCCACATGATCACACCAACTTGTTTCTCTCAGGATATCTGCCTTCAGAACATGTGTTTCCTGCAGGTTGTGATTAAAATAAACCTAAAGCTTGACAATAATTCTCCAAGATGAATAAAAGCTCTATAATCAACTCAACCCTACATCGAGTGCGTTTACATGCTTAGAGAGCCATGGCATGCTATTGAATGTACACCATTTAGTTTTCACATGAGCATTTCAGATCTGATATTCCAAAAATACTCTTCTAACTTTAGTATATGCAGAATAAACAAGAATGTTAGCTATATGAAACACGTTGCATGTAAACACACTCGGCAGGAGGAAGCTGGCCCTCATGCTAAAATCATTTGGGGAAATTGTTCTGCTGTACTGTTTGATACAATGAATGTGCAAATGAATATGCAAGACCCAGAGATGTCACCCTTTAACTATCACTGGAGAAATCATGACGCAATAAACTGCATGCAGGACCCTTTGCTATTTTCCTCAGTGGTGTTGATACATTTGAAAGATATTCCTGAGGATTGACAACATAATAGTGTCTCTCCTCAGTGTCTGTTTGCATGTATTTTGGGAGTGTCAGGAATACTGAGCCAAATCTTGACATCTGGGTTTATGTGTTCCAATCGTTTGACATGTTTGATTTACCCTGCTGTGTGTATAAAACCGTCTTGTCTAAGTCCTGTTCTTTGATTCCACTGTGCCTGACATTTAAAATCAAGGGCATCTTGTGGCTTCTACCTCATTGAAGCTCTTTATTTCATGTAAAGAGGTTTTAACACTAATAAATGAAACATTTAAAATACATACTGGAAAACACAGGTCCATTGTTTTTGCAATGAAGAACAAAATGGTGCAAATAAACCTGATTCATCAGAGAATGATCAGTGTGCTTCTTCCTGCATATGAACTGTATATTTTGGTGGATGTTTTCTAATTTAACATCAGGGTTTTGGGACAATACAAGGAACAGCTTATATCTAATTCAACAGCCATATTAAGGCAGTTACTTTTGAAAAAGAAAATGCAGCCAGCACAGAGAGCTAGAAATTCCTTTCAGTTAAGTGATGTGTATTTTTGATAAAACATAACAAAGGCACATTGAAAATGGATCAGACATTAATTATAGCACTGCACTAGGTTCAAATCAGCAACTTTCTTTATCTTTATGGGACGATTGTGCTGACATAGAAAGAGCACTAGAACATTTTACTTTAGTAAAACTAATACTAAAGTGAATATATTTTACATAAAGCTTAAATACTAATGCAACAACATTAACTATAGCTTCCATTATTATAGACACACTTGCAGCCTGTGCATAGAACTAATCATCAACTATAACCAACTTCCCCCCTGCTGTCTTTGACCAAAAAAAACACAGATAATCAAACAAAAATGACCTCTATGAACACCAAGGCAGCAACAAGTAATTTTAAGCTATAGTATCAACAGCAGAAAACTGTAAATGCATTAGAAACTCCATAAAGGTTGCAGACACAAACACACAAAAGCAAGGACGACTAGTTGAAACTGGTCATGTAGCACACACACAAAATGCTACATGCTATGTTACTAGGCAACGCAGTTGATGCTGAGTTCAGTGAGTTTGTTGTCTTCATAGAAATAAAATGTTTTTATATCTTTGGTTGTTGTACTCACCTGCCTTAACGGTTTTCTGAGTATGATGCACCGTGTGCTCCTCCGCCATCTGCTCAAGGTTCAAATTAATTAAAAAGAACAATTTATCCAAGCCTCTCTGACTTAAATTTCTCAAAGAGTTTAGAGAGTGTCAATACGAACATGTTAGCATTTAGCATGTTGTCCTCACCCAGTATGCACCTGTTGTGTGGGTATGTTTGATTAAGGCAATTTAGCATGCCGGCCGGCGGTGGCTTAATCAGTTATTAAGGTATGAAACCTTCTATATTCATTTTAACAATGCCGAGTTACAATATAGTAGTAAGTAACCCAACACCATTTGACTTTATTTTATTAGTTAACTCTAAATATAATAGTAATTTAGGAATGTTAAATTGCTGTTACTTTTAAATGTATTGAAATGCAAACAAACTACAGGGCCATGCATTTGCTTAGCCTCTCCATTTGCAGATAGTTAAGCAAAAACACAATCGAAGCAGGAAACATTATTTAAAGTGCAACATATAGAACTAATGTGAGCTTGGTGACATAATGTCTTAATCACTGCAGATAGTAGGAATGTCATGTAGCCCATACAACACTAGAGGGGGATGTTTTCTGCTCAATTTAAGCCAAACTAAATCACAGTGTTGATACCATTGTTTGTGTTAGTATTAAAATAAAGACACAGGACGCCCATTTATTCCAGATATGTCAAGGTTTCTTTTTCTTTTTCAAAGAGGTGCATTTGTACAGATGTCAAATACATACACCAACAGGGTTTCTCCATTGCTATAGAGGAAAGGGGTGGTGAGACACAGGGACTTAGTGAGTACAATATAGTACAAACAAGTTGGCTGGGACTGCTGCGCCCCCTCCCCTGCAGGCCAGACTGTCCGAGCAGGTCTGTGCTGATGTCCGCTTCTCTGCTACCGTCTTATAGGCCAACAAGTTTCAGTTCAGTTCTTGGTGTCTCCGGTAAGCAGAGAAACATCTAGACAGACAGTTTGCTAGCCTCAGGGCTGAGTGTTCAGAACAGGGGCGGGGGGGAATCAACGGGGCCACAGCTGACAGACAAGCTCCACCCCCCTCCGTGGAAGTGGGCAGGGTCAGAGGTCACCAGCCGTACAACCTGTCCCCTGCTGAAGTGTTTGTTGTACGGAGAGGCTGAACAAAGACGCTCAGTACACTGAAGAGTAATCCAAGCCATCTCCAGCATAATACACATATCATAATAATAATTCATAGTTAATTGTCATTAACAACATTTGTTAATCATATCAAATTATATGTAATACATTTACATATCTTATAACCCATATGAAACAGCCCACTATGTAAATTGATTGGGGTGAAACTAAACTTTTAAGTGGGCCTCTACAAGTTTTTTTTTTCTTTCTGCCTGAGTTGTTTATCCAGCGCTATGGACATTGACGAGACGTCATACAAAAAAAAAAGAGAAAAAAAAAGGAATCCTGATCGAATTCTGTTCACTTTTAAAACACAACGAAGTGCCAAAAACACATCCTTTTTGCAAAATGAAAGTACAAACATCAAGAAACAAGAGCACACATGCCTTTTTTCTGATCTGAAAAGTCAAAGCTCACACACCAACATTCATTTTATTTGTAAAATTGTGCAAGAAGCCAATTAAAAAAAAAAGAAGACATGAGCAGTGTTCCTCCAGTGAGGAAGCTTGTCATAAAAACTCAACAATGACACATTCTCTACATAGTTTTAAGTCCCCTGACATTATATCTAGTGCTACAAGGAGACTAAAACACAGAAAAAGCTCCTGCACCAAAGATAATGATCAAAACAATGCTGAGGTTTGTACGCACCGTTTTCACACCGCACGACCAACCAAAGCTGTGCCAAACACGTAGGCCAAATTTGATCTAAAAAATGTGAACTAAACCAAATTAAACATCACAGCTCGGGTTGGTGTAGGGTGGAAAAGATTTCAAACAAACCCGAACACAACTAAAGAAGGGATGCATTCCATGAGAAAAGGTTTTCCTAGTAGAAAATAACCAAGGAACCACCTAACACCTCGGCCCGTTGGACCCAAGAACGCGCCGGGCGCCAAGCGAGATGGAGCACAGACAGACAAATACTAGGATACGGAGAGGTGATGTGCAAAAACTTAAACTGAACCATCTCTCTTTTTCATAATTATTCACCCCTTTTGTTATCTTTCTCATTCTCTCTGTCTGCTTTGAATGAATGTTATCCCTAGGCAAGGTTTCGGTCTGAGACAGAGGGGTTAGACCAAGCCCATCCTAGGATTAGAAAGTGCTGAAACATTATCAAGTCTTTAACATCTACTTACATGTGCATCTCTGTTGGTTGGTTGTTTTTTTTCCTTTTTCTTTAATTTTTTGTACAAAAAGTGGTCCCCACTAAGCAATGAGGTTTTTTTTTTTTTCTGCGGGATTCACCGTGAACCGCCGAGGGTCAGGGTTTATGATCTCACAGACAATTACAGGAGAAAACACTCCGTGGCTCACACACACACACACACACACACACACACACACACACACACACACACACACACACACACATACTACACACATGGTGCGGACACACACACACACGCACAAAGGAGGTACGACAGTCTCTCACACACTCAAATTTAGAAAGGCCGCAAGGACAAAAGGGAAAGGGAGGTACGGACAAACTCTCCGTTGGGTTTGTTTCGCTTCACAAACATCCTGACTCTTGTTTTTACAGATGTGACGCACACATCGACAGACAGTAAAATACACAAGCCATTAACAAGGATGATACACTGGAGTAGAACTATGCTACATACACTTGGCACAGCAAAGAAGGGAGGGAGGGATACATGTAAGTATTGCACATCGTGGGACATTTCAAGGGGATACAAACTTGGGATTATCTTAAAAGAAAAAATACTACACTAGAAAAATTAGGAAACCTTGCTGTGATGTGCCGTTCACTGTCCTGCATTCAGAATGTGTCTACATTCCAGATTGCTTTGTTTCATAGTTAATTCGTTTGAAGTATAAACACAATGACCTTTTTTTTTTAAACAAGAGGTGAAAAGGAGACCGAATATCAAAAGATGATGTTAGGAGGGGGACAGGCAGCCCAGGCCACACTGAAAGGTAGCTAGCGGTTGTTGAGGGTTAATATTCCATTGCTTGGCCTCAGGAGGAGGTGTGAGGCTGGCTGGCTATGATTGGGTACCTGAAACAATGTTAACGAGGTCACTACGGGAGTCGTGGCAACGAGGTTTCTGCTGGTTGCTTCAGGTGCATGTGACTTTTGCTCTCCTGCAGCTCGAGTTTATGACTCTGACCAGCTGGGACGTGTGAGGTTTTGGGGGTCAGTTACTGCATATACGAGACACTTCCCTGAAAAACTAGCAACTGGTGTTGCAACTGCAATTCCTTAAGGTTAAAATGTACTCTATGATAAGGGGAATAGTGCTAACTGAAGAACACTTTGTTCAGGTTCAGGCTTCTAAAAGCATTTAATAATATATGGCAAGATTGTATTTTCTGTCTATAAGGAGGAAAAGAGGAGTTTTGGTTCGATGTTAGATGGTTTTTATTACATGTTTATTGCCGAGAATTTGAGCGGAATGACTCTGTTTGTGTTTGTGTGTGTGTGTTCAACTCATACACAAGGAGATTGCCTGAATATTAGTCATAATATTGCTTTTTAAAGTAACCAAACTTCAGCATCAATTGGCTTTGGCTAAAAATAAAAATGCTCTAAGCAGATGAAAGGTTTGATAACATGTTGTGGTTCTGCTTTTTACAATTATTGGGAAGGGGTTGTGTGTATGACATTTACAAAACACAGCCACTCACAGATTGCAAAACATACACACACACATATTTCTATTTGTACTCGTAATGATCATTATGATTCAATTGGAAAAGGAAGAAATGAAAATGTACTGTGGTGGGGTTGATCTGTGAAACCCTGTTTTATTATAAAAAAATAAAGCATTTTCAAATCCCATAAGGGGTCTACTCATTCACTCCCCATCAACATCTAAAACATTCTTCATCCATCTGAGCACACATCCATCCCACCATCACCCCGGTAAACTCCCACCACCTGAAGCGTTGCCCAACACACCAACACCTACATTATCAGTGGGATTCAAATTTGACTGATCTGCTTCTTAGAGGCAACCAACGACTTTCTCTATACCAATACCTGAATGCCGAAGCTTGATGAGAACGCTCAACAGATATGCCTACAAGAACCCATATCTTTAAATCCCAGACTCCACTGATGAATTTAAAAAGAATTGCCAATTTAGTTGAATAAAACAGTTACATTCTGGGACAACCAAGCAGGCGTATCTGTTGAGGTAATTTCTGCATCTTTTGCCGCACATAGGGTTTCAGCTGACTGGAAGCACAGGCCGTGTTCAAAACTGAACCCTAGTCCCTGCACCCTGGTTTCAACAGCAGAAAAGTGGACAAAAAGTCAAAATGTTCCTTTGGATAAATGGCATATCTTAAATTCAGTAGGCAGGCACGTGTTAAAATTCAGTTTTACAGCTCCTATGTTCCTAAAAACTAAAAATGTAATTTGACCTTAACTGCATTTATTTTCCTCTATAATGTGACAAGTGCCTGTTGAGGAACAAAGACCCTGGTCTCCTCCAGTGTGTCACGTGGTCTAGGGCTCGTTTCAGGACCGGGCGGTTCAACATCACGTCTCCACCCTTCTCCCTCCTCCTGATGTGCAAATTGCAAGATTCTATTAAGTACGACTCCAAGTAGAAACACTGGACATTTAACATTGTCTATATATCAAGTGAGTATAACCTTTATGCTATACACAGTATACATACTCATACACAAACTGACACAGGTACACAAACACACCACTCTACTGTACTGTGCATTAATCCATTCAACTAGTCTTTGCAGTAGGGACCTCAAAGCGTCCGCATTCGTCTCGATACAGTACATATTACAGGTCATTCAGGGATGGTGTGTACTGTTTTGAGTTTGTGTAAGCGTTTGTACGGACATACACAGACCCAATCTCATGCGCACACACATTACAAATATATGACACCCTCAAATTTCTGTGGCGTGAGCTTCTAATCGATGCTCTCAGTCGAGTACAGAACATCATTGGGATATTTCAAAAGCCTGTTCTTTGTTAATCCTCATGCCAGATCCTGAACTTTCAAAAACACATTCCAATACTTTCCCCTAACCTTTATATGGCTGGCTGGCTGTACAAGTGCACATGCTGAGAACCATCATACTTCTAAATTCCTTTTGTCAACATTATTTTTTCTCTAACTGTCTACTAACTGGAAACATTCTCCAATACAATCATCTCCTATTAGTGATCCCATGGCACATCCGCTCCCACCTTCACTTCCCCAAAAGCTTAAACTTTCCAAAGTGCTGTTGCTACTTTCTACCCTTGTCTTAATACAAAAAGAAAAATCTAAAAACATACAGTACTGCGTTAATAAAGAGACAACACCAATGTGTCGGCTGTATGGTGAGTGTGACAGGTGTGTTAAGTGCTTTGAAACATCCTGACCCTCTCAGAGCTGATTCTCTCTGTCCTCTCACACAGCCTCTTCTCCATAAAAAAGTATAAAGTAATTCATCAAAAACCATGAGGATTGTCTTCCTCTCGACATTTTCTTGAAGTGACCCAGTGTGTTCGCACTGCTATGCTTTAGGTTAGGGTATCTCACATTGATACATTAACATTGACCCACCTAGGTTCAAAATCTAGGACTTGATGACCCCTGGTTATGTTTTTTTGACAATCATTGGATCATGTGAGTTAGAATATGAGGGGATTATGAGAAACAAGAAGAAAACGCTCAAGATGAAATACTCCACCGTCATCGCACTGAACAGAGTGAGTGTTGTTCCCTCTCTTTTGTGTGGCACACTCGCAACACCTGATGACATCACTGCATAGGTCCGGCTCTGATTTGGAAAAAAATATAGTTATGGTTTTAACAAATCCTTTAAACTCAGGATCTTTTTTTCAGGATCACATTTAGGTATTTTTGTCCAGGCACAGGAAGTGAAATCACTGTAAAGAGTCTAAACTGTGAGCTAATTCAATTTGAAATGTCCATAATGTGTAGCCAGCCAAAAAGAGATATCAAGCATTGCTTCATGTGCCACACAGCAACCAATAAACATCTAGCACACCTCACAAATCCCTCACCATACAGTAGGTCATCTCATGAAAACCATCAGAAACGGCAGCGATTGCGCAAGTGATATCAAATCCAACTATTAAAACATGTGTTATTGACTACATGGACTTAAGGTGATACCATGTAGGGTACATTTACCTCTACAGCACAGTATTCAAGATAGAAAAATAAAATCGGAAAACAAAACTTTAAAATCAAGACGAATGAAACATTAATGTGGGCATTCATTTTTTCTTGTAGAGTCCATTTATGTTTCCTAATCCCAATGGATGAATATACAGTCCTGCGCTTCACTTGCCAATATTTGACCTTCCCTCGATGCTGACCTTCACCTCGTGGGGGATGAAGGAAGGTTTGGGCAGGGTCAAAGGTGGCTCCTCCTCTGATTTTTCTACTTTCCGACCTTCAGGAGCAGACCATCTCCTCTTCCTGCTTCCTGATGGCTTGCTGGCGCCAGCTTGTGCGCTGCTGGAAACCTGACCTTTAGAAAGTGCCCCTCTTTCCCCAAACATGAGATCCCCGTTTCCCACGTTGGTGCCTCCATTCCCACTGGCAGCGCTCCCTCGCTGGCTGATGCCGTTCTCCCGCTCTGAGACAGCTCTGGGGGGTTTGAGGTAACCAGAGGAAGGGGTAACCAGTTCCAGGGGCTGGGTCTTCTTCAGGGATCCGTTCCTCAGGTTCTTCAGGGTGAGGGAAATACAAACATCGCCCACAGAGAGCTTGGTGCAAGGCAGCTCCAGAAGCTGCGTGGTCCGGTCTGGGCAGCATGAAGACCAGCCTTGGCCGAACACGAAGAAGGGGTACTCCACCAGGACCTCCACGCTCACCTGGAGGTGAGGGAAGGGGGGGGGGCATAAACACAAGAATACTTCAATACAAAAAGTAGCTTGTCTTTAAAGCCCCTAAACACTTCCAATCTAACAGTTATACATAATAAATTATTACATTTTTATTTAGAGAAAAACTCAAAAACATTCACTAGGATTGTGTGGATGTGGTTTTATAAGATTTGCTTTGCAGTAATAATGAACTATCTATCCTTATTTTTCCTCTTTCTTTACAACCAAGGACAGAGACAGGGCTACAAGGACTTTATTTGTGTCTAAATGTAGCTGAATGAAAGAACTACTGGGACATGTTGTTCTTAAAATCATAAAGAATATTATGTTATAACTGATTGGTTTGTTAGAGGCACAGCTGGATACTGTTGGCATAGAAGCAGAACATAAGTAAAAACATTAAAAAGATTAGCAACATACTTCAAGAGAAAATGCCTAATCCAAAGATGAAGTATTACACACAATTGATAAAGAGGATGCAACACATTTATGTTTAAGGGATTACAGTTCTGAATTGAATTATGAACATATAGGGCTGACTTAGATTTGCATTATCATTTGTATGTATGAGAGAATAAAGAGATGACTGATGGAAGCAGAGGAGGCTTAGAGATGTGATGTGTAGAGAGAGGGGGCAAAACATATGAAGTGAAAGATTTCAAATAGAGAGAATGAGAAGGTGGGAGTGGAAGAAGTTACTAAGATGGAGATGAAAAGGCGAGTTTACAGAGGAAGGGCGGGTAGAACAAGAAGAGGAGTAAGGAAGTGAGCGTGAAAAGAGAACAATGTCAAGAACGGTACAAGTGCAAGATGTATCAAACAGCCTCTCAAAGGAAACGGCAGGCATTATTTCCCCAACCCTATTAGATCATTTTTGATTTCTCAGAGTTAGTCCTCTGAGTGTGGACTCAATGCTGCTACCACCTCTCAGGAAAGAAACAAAAAGCAAGGAGAGCCACTGATGGAGTACAAGAGAGAAGGATAAGTCTTTGAAAGATTGTCAGCTTTTGTGGGGTACAGTATCAAAGAGCAGCCGGGGGCGGGAGAGAGGGCTAGAGATGTGCTGTGGTGGTGGACACATGAAATGGATTAACTGGCTTTAACGCACACACTCAAAGACAGTGAGAATGTGTGTGTTTCAAGGAGTTGGAGGGAGACAGTAAAAAGGATAAAATCAATGCTCAGTATTAGATGTTAGGAGATTACTGAAACATCGTAGTTCTAAAAATGTTTTTACACGTACAGCAGCAGAAATGTGATATCAGTACATTCATGTTCCGTGCTTTACTGAATACTTAATGAGTAGATATCCAACACTCTGCTCTTTGAACTTTTCTACAGCTCATAATAAGAACATGGTTGTTACATCACTGCCATCATAGTACATTGAAGTTAATTTAATCTGAAAGGAGTCCTGTGAGGTTCACCTATGATAGAGTCATTAATAAGGGAGCAGCTCAACACTTGTCATTAAACATTAATAACACACACTCGGAGCATGCATTCTAAGAAATCTTGCGGATGTAGTGTGTCTCACTCACACCTATAGAGACACCTATAGGACTAAACACAGCAGTAAAGGGCTGAATATAGGAGTTTCTGTTTCACTGAGCCGTAATGCACAAAGCATAATGAGGGCATTAAGCGTTATCAAGTACAATCACATAAAGAACAAGCCTTAAAGGACTAGTTTCACTTCCTTGCAGGGAATTAAAAAAGAAGATCGATTTCAATCTTATGTCTCTGCATTGCCAATGGAAACAGCCCTGAGTTGATTAGCTTAGGTTGGCATAGCATAAACACTGGAGGCAGGGGGGAAATAACAAAGCTCTAAAGTTTGAAATAAACTACTAATATTGCCTCTAAACCTTTATTATTATCACTAATCTGTAAACAAACAAAATGAATTTCGTCAGGGATTCTATTGTGTGCACATTAGACCAACAAAACTGAACATTGCTAATTAGTGGGCTTTAGAGGTGTGAAAAGCCATATTTACAGCTCTGCTTTGAGTCATGGCTCTAGCTCCATAGTTTAAGCACAGACATGAGGGTGATATCAATTCAACTGACATTCAAAATGTAAACAAATATTTAAAAAATATAAATCTAAGACTATAATTGATGTTGATCTCCGTCTCTCACCTGTGAACGGTGCTCCCCAACGGAGAACTGCACCACAGCAAAGTTGTGTGAGGCGGGGCTCCCTTCGATGCGCTCCACTGTGGACGAGTCGATCTTCAGGTCGCTGCTGATCTCAGCGCTCTGGATAAAGTCCTCCGTCTTCAGGTCCTCCACACGTTTCAGCTCCCCGTCGGCCAGCTGGATGATGGAGCCCTTGATGAAATAAGGGGGGAGTGATGGGGGCGCCCCCGTACTAGATGAGGAAGGAGGAACAGAAGTCGCGACCACCCCTGGCGGAGCGGGAAAAATGGGGAGATGAAGCTGGGCTTGGACCACTGCACCTGAAACGCTCTGGTGATACGAGCCGCCGTGGTGCTCTAGAGTTTCTCCTTTGGGGGCCGCAATGTATGTGTGTGGGAGTCTGGTAGGAAACGAGGCGGCTTGGCTAGATGATGTTACTTGGGAGGCTACAGGTTCCAATGTGGCCACTCCACTTCCACTTACAGGGATAATGACTGGTTGGGTGCCAGGAATGAGTAAGTGTTGTTGTAGGCTGGTGTGATAGCTGACCGGCGTATGGCTCCCAGCGCCCCCTGCTATGTACCCAATTATAGGTGGCTGAGGGTAGATACTGGAGGAGGGGAGACCCATTGACAGTGACTCTGTGGCGCTGTGGGTGGTCTGGATGACGGTCTGAGGCGACAGTGTGCTGACAGCAGCTTTCAGGCTGTCCACACTTAATGGGGATGCAAACGTGAAAGAGGAGGAGGTGTTGGAGGAGGAGGTTGTGCGATGGACAGGCTTGCCCAGGATGATGCCACCTTTCTCCAGGTGTGCCGGGGCACAGGTTGTCAGCTTCTCGTTGCCGGTTCTGTGTTGTACCAGCTGGTGGTCCCCATGGCTGTTGGGCATCAGCATGAACGAGGTTCTCAGCCCTGAGTGATCGTGAGTGGCGTAGTCTGAGTGCAGAATCAGCTGGCGGGCCTCGTAGGAGGACAAAGACAATGTGGCGTCCCGGGATTTGCTCCCTGGCTTAGAGAGGTTGGATTCGGGGGACATTCCAAACCGCCGACCCCTTTCCAGCTCTCCATTGTGGTGCTCTCTGTGTCTGGAGCCACCTTCATCTTTCCTTGTGGGTCCGTCCGAATACTGCACCACAAGCTGGGACATCCCATGTCCCAAAGAATGGTGGGGGTGCAGTGACTGGAGAGGAAGGTGGACGCCTCCTTGGTAATGAGGTGACGGCACAGTCCGTGTTGACGTTGACATCTGAACTTGGTGAGGGTAGAGGTCTGTCGAAGGCGGAGGCATGGAGGCGCGTGCCGAGGACGCTCTCTGCTGGTCGTGTTTGGAGGCGTGCGAAGGAGCAGACACTGTCTCTGTGTACGAGTGTCTCTGCGCGGACAAAGAGGAGGACGAAGAGGAGGTGAGGGGGGGAGGTGGAGGAGGAGGCGGAAGCAATTGAGGGGAGATGTAGCTTGCGTATGGGGCACTGTAGGGTGAGGCTATGAACTGCAGGTTGGGAGGCAGTTGGGCGTAGTGGACAGTTCCTCCAACAGTGGACTGTGACAGGGCGGACGTATACACTGTAGGAAGAGATGAGACGAGACTCAGTGAGGAGGATGAAGAGTCCGAGTTGGAGAAGAGGGATTTATACTGGAGGCTGTCCGACTGACTGGAGCTACGGTGACCGCCCACTCCACTCTCATTCCCAGCAGCCACGCTGGCCAGCCAGGCCATGTTCTCTGTGCGCTGGCTGTCACTGGCGGGGGGGATGGTGGGGGAGCGGAGTTCAGAGGGTAATGTGCTTGAGACGATCTCCCTCTTCTTTGGGGGCAGACATTCATTACTGCGTTCCTGATTGGACTTCATGCTGACTACACCTCACGTCCCTAAACTGCACTTGCTTATCGTTCCTTAGCTTTTGGCCTTCTATTGCTTTTCTTTTCTATTTCTGACTTTTTATTTCACTTTCCTTCCTTTTTCTCACTTTTGATGATCTATCACTTGTCTCGCCGTAATAAGCTATGAATTCCAAATTTCTACTCTCTTTCTATCTTGTTCACCGAAGCCCGATCTTTATCAGGGTGATAAGAAGGAAAATCCAGACCCTAACAAGCAGGTGAGGAGGGATTAAGATGGAGATGAAGATATGGAGAGGGGGGTTGGAGGATGGGGGGAGAGGGGGGGTAGGGCGGTCTGTTTGGTCCAGAGGTGTTTAGCGGCTGGAGGGTGAGCTCAGAGCTGGAGGGGAGAGAGTCACGACGTCACACCTGCTGCTGCCGCCGAGGACGACGGGGGGCCGAGTGCGTCGCACTTCATGCGGAATCATTTCCTTGCAAAAGCAAGCCTGCCCACACCCAGCACAATCCTGTGGAAGAGAGACAAACAGCATTAGAAAAGGTGTGGGTGCTTTTAAATAAAACTAAATAATCACTGAAATGCATTAAATCTTAGATGAAGCATTCTTAGTCTAGGGCAGTGTTCGGCAACCCCTGGCACGCGTGCCACCATTGGCACGATAACCAGTGGCACACTAGGAATAAGTGGAATAAGTGTGCAAAAAATTTAAATTTTATTTTCGGATTCTGAACGAGAATCTCTCCCCGTTACCTGCAGAAGGAAGCCATGCATGCAACGCAGCCCCGCTCTCTTTAACTCCAGGCGACTTTCTGCCGCTTTCTTCCGTGGTGCAGTGCTGATCGTTTCACCACAGAGGAAAGCACTTCACTAATTGCAGTACCCATAAGGAGCTGTACAAATGCCGCAGTTTTTGCGTGGCTGTGTCTTTAGTTGAAAGCCCAGTGGCGATCTGCTCATCTTTCATCGAAATAACATGCTACACAGGGGCGGACTGGCCATGTGTGTTCTGGAGAATCACAGAACGGACGATCGTCCTTATTATTATGCCGATTAAACAAATTATTTCAATTTGTTTGTTAAATTTGGCCCTCCTGTTGACAGTTAACGAGCGTTGAGCTCTTTTTAGCTCTATCTTTGCCACAACATTATGTGAGGAAAGAAATTGAAGCAGGATAAATGAATAATAACACAGGCAGTTTGTAAAAGTTGCACCCTTATTAATTATCGAAAAATGGAAACAATTCCAAGAACTTTCCGGCACCTGCTGTACTTGGACATCTGATAACAAGCCTGTGCTGTACTCAATAAAGTGTGTGTGAGTGTCCCACATGTGTGCCTGTGTGTGTGTCTGCCATCTGCTATAAAGGACCCCCTGCTGTAAAGATGGAAAGCTTGGTGTGAATCTCATAAATAATGTAGAAGCATTTCAAGCACCCCCCCCACACACACACACAGCGACACACCATCATGCTTACTCAAACACTGACACCTGGGCATATTCAGTTATGCTGACACATGTTATTTTGGTGACACACAGCTCAAGTTCACACACTTTCCCCGACAAGTGCACAAAAGCTAAATCAATGAACAACTTAAAGACCCTTCCCATTTGTACACTTGGTGGGCAGAGTATCCTATGACTAACAAACGGCAAACTAAAAATGTACAGCTAGCATTGCTGTTGTTACGACAACGCACTGACTGCATTACAAAATGTGTCTCAGTTTAAAGTTTGCAAGGCAATGAGTTTACATTTTCAACAGCTGAATGTGTTTTATGCGAATAAACTTAAAGAAAAGTATTATTCACAATAAATGAAAACACACCTAAAATAATTATCTGAACCAAAATGAAAATGTGATTATGTTGCATTACTGTTATTTAGCACATGAATAAACGTCAGGAATTAAACAAATAATCATATAATAATAATTAACACAATGAAATATCTTCAACCACATACAACATGTCAAATATAGACTTGTTTTTGTCATTTAAAAAGGCACTTCATCCAAATGCCACAACGAGAACAATCAATATAAAAAAAGAAAATCTTTTCAAATGTATGTCATGATACTTAACAGTATTTAGATAAGGAAGTCAGTGAGCGTATCCATTCTGCATATAAAAATAATTATGGTTCCTCCATTTAGCCATTCTGGTAACAGACCTGATGATCTGATCTCTGCCACTGCCAAGCCACAACATATGTAATCTTCCAACCAGAATGAATTGTTCAACACTTCTGAGACTTCATAAGGTTTATTTGCAAGTTCCTGCAGGGAGATACCAATTGCTTTCACTTGCGTGCGTGCGGCCGTGTGTGTTGCCGTGTGTGTTCTGTATGACGAGAGACCTCTTGCATCTCAAGCAGATTCCTTTGGTTTTCCAAGTGTCGCATTGCTACTATAGCGAAACTGCAAAGACATGCGTAGGAGTAATGCAAATTCACATACAGTACAGTATAAGAACACACACACACACACTTTTTCAAGCACGCACCATCTGTTCAATCAGGCAGGCATGACTCAGAGTGTGTTGAGAGGTGCTGTTGATCGGTGAGCTTTTAGCACTGAGATGCACTCTTCCCTGCCTCTCCCTCCTTCACTCCAACTCCTTTCAACTCCTCTCCTGCCTCAGCCTGCCCACCTCTCCTTCTTCATCACTGCATTTCCAATAATCGTTTTCCATCTAGTGTAATGTTCTTCATTGTCTGTCAATCCTTGCTTCTACTCTCTTGGCATTATTTGACATTAATCTTCTCTCTCCTGTTCGGTATGTCATTGAACGTAAAGTTGGTGCTGTAGCTGACAATGACAGTGGTGATATAGATTGGTATGAAATAATAATCCAAGTTCGTTTTCAACAAGCTGTTGCTCAAATTAAAACTTTGTGATAAGAGGAATATTATGTGTCTGAGCGTTGTGAGATGAGAGACGTTTCATATCAGCCGTCACATCAAAAAGTCAGCACACACGGCCTCAGATCTGTTCATGCTGCCATCTATGGCTGCTTTTATCTTCAAAGTGTGGTACTTTATTTCTGACAGTTCACTCGGGCTGGTGAGAAAAGGTTTGTTAGAATTCCAGGAGAAATATTAAAGTGGATCTATCATGCAACATTTGAATAATATAGTGTAGGACCATACCTATATAAGGCATATTTATACTTTTTATTTTTCAAAATACCAAACAGATCATGCATTTTAGGCATTCCTCATTTCGCTCAATTTAACACTGTCTTTGCATGGGCTGATTCTGTGAGAACAGCACCATCTACAGGCCTGGCATATGTACTACAGCGTCTCCAGCACTTTCGAACGGCAATGTCCGTGGCTGTCTCCTCCTGATCGGTGGAGTTGGCCCAATAGTCTATGACGTCACAGAAGTGGCGCTACGGCTATTGGGCCAACTCCACCGATCAGGAGGAGACAGCCACGGACATTGCCGTTCGAAAGTGCTGGAGACGCTGTAGTACATATGCCAGGCCTGTAGATGGTNGAGCCGTTGCGACTTCCGACTGATTTCGATAGAGCGGGTCACATATAGGAAGCAGTTTTTCCTGAAAGTAAGAAAAGTGTGAACATTTACTTTTTTCCGCCANCACTTCTGTGACGTCATAGAAGTGTTCAAATCTGGATCAGTTTGTATCAGATCCGTTGCAGCCCCTTTTTAAGAGATTTGGGTATGGAGGAAAAGAGAGAGGGTTGTGTTTTCTGACACTTGGTGAGTTCCCTGGAACACCGGGGACACATATTCATGTATAAAAGACGTACAAAAGTGCATTTTGCATGATAGGTCCCCTTTAAGCATTGTCATATTAGATATATGTATATTGTGTTTGTAATAAGCATGGCAACTATACAAACTATAAAATAGGATATACAATGTAAATCAATGGGAACTCTTATTAATGAAGAACAATAGCACGTAAACCTGCATTAACAACTTTTTTGCCATGTGGGGGCAGCAGAAGCAAACACAGTATATTGAAATATTTCATTTGATAGGTCTAACTTTTTAGCAAACTAATGCGTTTTTCCCATCCAGTAGACATGGAGCAACATTAGCATTCACTTGATGGTGGGCTTCTAGTCACCTTGCACATATATGACCAATATTCACTCTCCTCTAAGCCCTGTATTGGTCTCAACCAAAGGTCGAGGGAAAAATGCTCAATTGTCTTCACTACTAACTGTGTCTGTCTGCTTTTTGGTATTGAACAAGGTGATAAAATGGGCTTTCAGAACTTTCTTTCTGAAAATAGCTGCCTGCTGTGTATGGAAACACACAGAAATAAGGATATAAAACCACGAGGTGAAAGATACTACAGTAAGAGAGAAAAATAGAGAGAAAGAATAGAAAGAGGCTGTGCTTAGAGTGAGTCAGAAGGAGTTAAGTACAGAAATGTTTTTGCTGAGAGCTCATCTGTCCTTAATATTAAAGCTTCCAGCATGTAGAGTGTGAAACATTATCATTAACAAACACAATAAAGTTAATCCAACACATGATTTGAGAGAGTGATATGAAGTGCAGGAAAGTACATGGAGTGTGTAAAGTCTTTGGACACATGGGAGAAATGGAGAGAGAAAGAGATGCAAGCTAACTGACCTACATTGCAGAAAGAGAGAGTATTGCTTTGCTGAAACTGACCCTCAAACACACATTCACTGAAAAGCGATGTCACCCGATTCTTGCTGAGTTTGCAACTGTGTGTTTGAGTGTGTCTGTGTGTGTGGGTGTGTGTTTGAATGAATGTGTGTTGACGACCTGTAACCTAAGCCGTCTGTCCTCCATGTGCTTCAGTCTCTTTTTCACACACACACAGACACACACTTTACCAACGTCTGTGTGTGCATGCGTGAGTCAGTAACCTGAATCGTTCACTCATGCACTATACTATTGTCCTTCTACGGTCAAAACAGTGGAGGTTCTCAGGTTTCTTTCCTTCACACACACACACACACACACACACACACACACACACACACACACACACACAAAATACTACTGGATGAATTGTAAAGTACTCGCACTGTCTGCTGTTTGTAACTAAAACCCTGCAGGGACAGAGAATCAAATCTCTCATGTATAAAGTGTATATGAAAAAAAAGGGTATTCAAAGTTATATGTTACAGTAATACATATTAAACCTTACTTTCTTTTTGACACATTTAACTTAACAGGCTGAATGGCGGTAAAGGCGCCATGTACTGCAATAGTATGGGCAACATGTTTTAACTATGGTCCTTTACAACAATTACAAAACATAGCAGCAGATATAAACATTAGGTTTCATATTCCTGCAGTACATCTCTGAGCTACTGATATCCTCCCAATGCAGGATATACGATTCCTTCCGGGTTCAATGACATTCAATCTGTGGTAAAATATTAGAAACAATGACAATACACTTTCAGCCAAAGATTTCCAGCCATATCACGTGCTGTTGAGGTAATCCTAGAAAGTGTATTCTTTGTTTTGTGCTCTATTTCTAAAAGCTGCCGGC